CGCTCTTTATCTAAGAATTGCAGCACTGTCTACCGCAATTCTGGTAAACTAAATTTGTTAATTTCTCTCATCATGCCGATATAGGCATATTACAAATACAAATCAAAATAATTATTTGGCTTTTATGTACAAAATAATACCAGACCGGATTGTGGATTGTATAATAGAACGTTTTCATATAAAAAACATTGAGGTTTGAAGTATAATTCATATCGCGTTATGTATTTCAAGTTTTCAAACAAGTTTAAATCTCAATATTTTTATATAAAAAACATTGAGATTTAAAATCTAATTCGTATCGCATTCTTTGAAAATTTCAAGCAAAACAATGTGTGATTGTTTGGCAGTCATGAAATGGTACGATAGCGTAATTGTGAGTTTGTCTTGTATGATTTTGTGCTAAAAACATTATTCTATCTTATTTTTGCATGTCATGTCCTGAGCTGATTGATAATGCAGGAAATGGAATTTAAAATGTCGATAATTACCAACATTTTTAATTCCGTCTTGAAGAGGGAGAGCACTATTCCGTCGGAGTTCAGCCGTCACTCCAACATCCCAGTTACAGTGTACAGATTGGTAATTTAATTTTTTCGTTCATTATTATGTAAAAATATCAAGGTATTTTTTTCATAGCATTTATTCCTACCACAAGAGACCTCGAAAATCGAATAGTCGATCGCACTCATTCACAAACACACTCTTATTCTTGAAAGAATATTTTACGTATTACAATTATTACAAATCTCTCATCACTTCGATTCACTCATAGCGAGATTTATTAATATTAATATTATTATTAAAGACACGAGCGTCGATAACTGTAGAGCGTTGATCTTTAACGGTCTTTACCGCTTTCTCGAATGGCGCGTGAGCGAATCCCAGAAAGTAGATAAAGGATAAGACAAGGATGAAAAGAATACCGTAGTCTCTGAATTATTGATTGCAACTCTGTGGAAAGGATCTAGTTGGAATTATTTAAAAGACGTAGATCTCCCACCTTTACTTGGATGACATTGCAGAATATATAATTATTTATGCTAATTGATGCTATTCAAATGCAATTATATCTGATTGCCTGTTGATACAACGAATAGAAAATTGCAATATTGCTAACAACTGTGCACTGCATATAACTGCGACGACTAAAATATTTCTATATTAATAAAATTTTTGACAATTATTAATATCATTATTAAAGACAATATTATTAACATTCATGACTGTAGACCGAGCGTTGGTCTTTGTCCGTCTTTGTTGCCTTATCGAATGACGCGCGAGCGAATCCCAGAAAGCAGATAAAAGGTAAAACGAGTATGAAAAGAGTCAACACTATAGTGCGTGAATTGTTAATAGAAACTGTGTTGGGACGATCTAGTTGAAATCATTTAATAGCCGCAGCTCTTCCACCTTACGTGAATATGATATTGCGAAACATGTAATTAGTTATGCAAAATAATTCTATAAAAACGCAATTATATTTGATTGCCTACTGAAAGAACGAAGAGAAAATTATAACATTGCGAACAATTGCGTACTGAATGCAACTGCGGCTATTAAAATATTTCTATATCAATAAAACTTTTGACAATTATAGGCTAAACCAGGGCCATGTGGAAAAGACGACTATTATAGATTGTAATTTTTTCGTAATCTCTAAATAGTACACTTCTGTAATTATTTACAAAGTAATCGATATTTACAGTAATGTGTACACCATAAGAAATAACGAATTGCGATTATTATGTTATAAATATTATATTAGGTGGTAAAAAGAAACTTAATTCCTGCTGCTCGCTACCAGAATGTGCCGGCTCCAACGCTGGCGAGTTTTGACGGTGAAGTCGCATGTCTTTTACAGTTTGGACATTGCTGAAAGTAATTTAGTTCTTACAGATTAGATTTCTCGACGCCAAAGACATTTTCCAATCGATTGAAAATGAATCGCGATAAGCTATTTTTCCAACATGTGCTTCTTCACTACTTCGACCTCAAGAAAACCGCAACTGAAACGCATCGCTTATTATCCGAAGTGTATGATGATAAAACTTCATCGAAAAAAACAAGTAGAGGTTAGTTTAAACGCTTTCGAAACGGTGATTTTGACATGAGAGATAAAAGCGTCCTAGTTAGCCGATAAAATTTAAAGATGTTGAGCTGCAAGAATGGCTCGATGACAATCCAGCTCAAACGTCACATCTGGTCGCGGCCAACAGCAATTATGCCGATTGAATGACGTGTTGATGCAAAAAAGATTATTCTTAGTCAACAATCGATGCAAAATAATTCTTTTGCATAATGCGCTCGACCGCCTGTTATAATACAAAAAGCGTGAAGCAAACATCTCTAGACCTCGAATGAGAAGTCCTATCGCTATCTAGTGTACTCTCCAGAGTCGGCACCGTCGGATTACCATCTCTTCCGGATGATGCAATACGCACTTACGGAAACGCACTTCTCTAGCTACGAAGAAATCCAAAAAATGGTCGATGAATCGATCGCCTCGAGGAACACCGCGTTGATATCAATTATTGTGCTACCTTGAATGTTGCTATGCTTGTTCTTGTACCTGCCAGACGTCTTGGTACATTGAGCGCGGGCATCTAACTATAATTTCCCTGTTTGGTACGATGCATTATCTCCTGCTCGCTTCCTTGCATGCACCAATCATTTTGTCGGAAATGATTACGTGACTATTTCATGTTTCGTTATCTTCATTCCGTGTTACTGTGTCATTCAATATAAATTATAACCAATATATAATGAACAGTGAATCTACAGCGTTTAAATAAAAATTCTTAAAAGTTATTAAAATGTTATTAAAAGTTATTAAAAATTATAATAGTAAATTCCATTTAAATATAGAAGTTGTCGTTCGTACATATTGTACATTTGATACACATACAGCTAATCTATTAGAACAATCAGCCTCGTCTGATAGCTTTATACAGCGCTTCATGCGGCAAATCAAGCAGCATACAGCTAATAATAAGTTACACAGAAAATTATACATTGTGTGACGTCAGCTTAATTTCCTCGCACGCTTGTGCTATTTTCCTTTTAATGATTAACAGGTGTTACCAGAAGATATTCTTGCTTGACAGAATTTTACAACAAGTCTGCTGGTGCATATTTACTATAATCGAATACGTATGAGGCACGCTTGTATGAGTTCATTCTACGAAAGTATAATTTAGACGTCACTTTTCTTACGCAGCAAATAAATCATCCGTATACTTTTATACACATGATACTTTTTATATACGATACAACAAATTGTTTTTATTTCCTTTTAAAGCGAAAAGGGCTTAAAAATTCTATCAAATACAACAAGCAAAGTATCAACGTAGAACGATCATGACATCGTAAAATTTTAAGTTCAGCAAAATTATTCACAAAATAAATCTACATCGCAGAAATAATCTTCTCACAAATTTAACATAATTACATATAAAAATGTATTCTTAAAATCCAAGAATATTAATCCCCTTAGAATATAAATAATGATAATCAAAAGTTTTGCGCACGACTTATAGCGTATAGACTGTAAACACTAATACAAGTAGCGCAGCTCTGCGTGTTAATGTATATTACATGTTTTAACAATATTTGTATACAGCTGAGGGACCTAAATACAAACAAGTATGTAGAAACAAAAAACTTTTTATGTTATAGTAGTCGTATCACTAAATCCTCTTAACTATATCTTATTCCAGTTTCCCCTAAAAAGCACTTTCCACGCAATTGCGAATTGAAAATCAAACAACCGAACAACTATGAGTTCCAAATCATCAGGTATCCAACACCAAAAATTTAAAAACTTTTTTATTACAACTTTGTGCGTTGGGTAAATGCACCTGATATTGCCCAGCACGAAATATCACTACTCGTGATATCTCGTGAACAAAATAAACATTTTAAAATGTTTTAAAATATGTTACATATAAGCAAGATATAAAAATCTTTAGATTTTAACCGTTCTAATCTATTATAAATAAAATAGAAATGTTTTCTTTCTTATTCGAAACTACATACAAAGAAAATTAATACATAGCCTTTAATTGAGATTGAATTTTGTTAGACGATATTAGGTACGTTTATGCCATAGTTAATAACCATAATGACCAGAATAACGATTGATCGGACAATTTTTGCAGCTGTTACATCTTATCTTTATCAGTTTTGTATCCATATTGCAGTTCAGCTGAAACAAAATATAATTTTCAGAGCCAGCAATATTATTCGACTAGCACTGGCAGAAATATTATTGCAAAAAATATTACCTCAAGCAGCGAAGAATATAATTATATCGATACGGTTTAAATAGTGAGTGAAACATTAATTTATAATATATGTATATGATTACCTAAAAACGCAGGTTCGAGATAAAGCAAATTCTGCCATAACGCAACACCGCATTCTTCTTTGGGCATTTCTATATCACCATCATATTTCTTAGGCAATGCCCTTTTATCTATGTGAGTCATTAAGGACTTCCAGTTTGTCCCATGAACGTAAATCCGTTTGCGATATTTATCCTGTGTTATAATCACGTTATAAAAATTTTAAAGTTTTAAAATTCAACACAAAATTGTCATGATAATTTATAAAGATGAATCATAAGACCATAAGATCACACCTCCGTGAAAGGTTTAACCAACGCGAGTGCTATTTTGACGACACGAGATTGATTCACAATGTGGATACCTTTGTTACGAATGGGCAAACATCTCTGTAAAAAATGTGACAGCGTTTTGATCAAGGACGCTGTGGCGTGCTTTAACTGACCAAAAGATGTACCTTCGACGTCTAAAATAACATGTACACCCGCGATCTAAAAAACAAAGTAAGATTTTACTGTTAAAATTTCATGCATATATTTGTGGGACGCTCTAGAGATTGCTACAAATTTCTCTAAAAATTTATGACTAATTTTATGTATTTTTATAGTGAATGCCAATCTATTTTGAATCAATTGAAGAAATACTTTCCGATGACAAACCTGAGTTTTGTATTCCACAAACGTTAAAAACAAGCCCATTATGATGCCTTTAAGACATTCATCGACCGACACTTCCTTCGGATCCCATTTTCCACAATCGACCACTACCACCCTGCATCCATCTTTAGTACGAAGCGGCAGTGGCCACACCAAGCCGGCACAAATTGCAGTTTTCTCTTTACTAATAGTCAAATCTTTATATAGGTGTGAATGGGTTAAACGGAATCGGTAATACCGTTTCATCTGTTGAATAAAATGTTTGAGCAATTTATTGTTATTGTAAAATTCTGTATTAATTGCAGAACGACCTAGAATCAATCGGATGTATTTTTAACTTCGACCACAGCTAATTTGGGAGCGATCCTTCCTTTGCAAAAACATTAAGGCCGCCATTATTTAGCACATATTTTCAAGGTTTAATTAATAATTAATCTAGTAAATGACTGAAAATAACTTTTTACCTGCTTTCTTTGCAGTTCAGTGCGCATTTTATATTTAATGATTAATATAATATATTTAAAACAAGATTAATTTGGGATATTAAAAATACTACGAAATATGACTTACTAGTGTGAAAGCGCTCTTCGCATACCATTTGCATGGACGCAAGAATACTATGAGGAAGTCCTCCATGTCTTTCGGTACATGCAGATCAGGTTCCTCTAAAGAAATGAAATAAAAGAGATATTTTAATAAAAAGACAATGGTTACAATTCTGTAGCATGTGTACAAAATATTATAATTTGCATATAATTTATGAAAAAAAATCAACGGCAAAGTGGATAAAAAATTAAACGATTATAATATTATAATAGTATCAACTATATAAAGTGTATGTCGCGTTTCTTTCGATGACAGTGCAGAATGTAACCAATATCTTTTTGTGAGACTTACTTCGTTACATTATGATAATCTCAAGTTGCAGTAATTTCAACAACGTCGTGATTGCGCAGAAACAAATAGGCATCTATAGTTTATCATATTCAAAGTAGCGAAATTCAGTATAAAAATATTGTTTTTTATTTTATTAGGATTTTTCTTAAGAATTTTTAATACCTTGTATTTCTAACAATAAGAGCCTTTAAGACTACATGTTCATATTAAATTTCTTTTCATAAAATGACTTAAAAATCACCTAAAATAGGAGAACGCAGAAAGAAAGCATGGAGTATCGTGCGTACGAGCTGTCGATTACCACATGAGATTACTGCATAGGAGAACTAGATTTATTGAATATAATTTACGCATTTATACATTTTCCTGTTCTTACTCTTCATCGTTTAGTTAGTTTACCAATTTTTCTTTTTAACATAATGATAACTACATTTTTGTACGATTCAACTTTTACTACCTGATATTAATTCTTTCAATTCCTTGAAACCTTGGGCGACAATTTCTGGCGTCTCCCGCAATTCCTTCTTGGCTTTCTCACGAAAAAATTCGCCGACATCTTCACTTATATCTAAGGAAAGTTGATGTTCACCAAACATAATTTTTGGAGCATTTTTCTCCCAGTTGTCGTATAACTCTTGTTTGGATATTGACTTCAGCGAAGGAATAAGTTTAATGTTTTCCATATCAGTCGCAGATGACATCTGTCAGACAGTTGTATCAACTAAGTTATCGCCCATCGAAGGTGGATACAAAGTTGAAACGTGATATTTCGTTAACACACACGCTATGTTAATTTTACAAGCTACAGGAGTATCGCGACGTAGTTTGGAGTCGACATGCGACTACACGAGGACTAACACAAGAGAACTACTTGAGAAGGAATGGGCTGCATCTTTTCGAGAAGGACGTGACGAACTGCATACACAAGTGGCGAAAGTGATTGCCAAGGTCCAAGAAGAGAACCGACGAGGATTTAACAAGAAATGGAAGAAAGCATTGTCGTATTGCTAAGGCGATCTGAGTTGCCGTTAAGCGGACGCAGCAGGTCCCAGGGTTGAAACTTGCGTCGAAGTTTTTGGGGCCACATAAAGTTACGTGCGCCGAGTAAGGCAAGAATTCCCGCTGAGTTCGGTCATGTTTAACCTGCTCGTGGCAGATATGGAAAAGATGTTAAAAAAGGGAGGATGTGGAAAGAGGAGGATGAGAAGATATACACGTTGGGATATGCAGACAATGTGGCGGTGTTAGTAGAAGAGAAAAAGGGAATGAGAGCGATGATAGCAAAATTAGAGAGATACCTAGAGAGAAAAGGTATGGAAGTGAACATAGGAAAAACGAAGATAGTGGGATTTAGAATAGGAGGTGGAAGGGAGAAAAGGATAAATTGGAGATGGAAGGAAAGCAAGATAAAGGAGGTAAAGAGAGGGCATTCCGAACCTCAAAAAAGGATGAGGGGAAAATAGGTGGAGGAGAATAGTGAGAAGTAGACTGGGCAACGAAATGAGAGGGGGGCAGTAATGGAGGAAAGAGAAGGAGAGGAAATGTAGTTATGTGGACTAGGAGAAGAAAGATGGGAGCATGTGTGGGAGGAGTGTAGAAGGTGAGTGGGAGAACAGTAACGGTGGTAGCTGGCAGTAAGAGACGGGAAGCATTCTGGGAGTGAAGGGAAAAGGGAAAGAGTGGCTGAGAGACCTGGAGAGAGAAAGAGGAGCAGAGAGGGGCGTGTGGGAGGAGAAAGAGAGGGAGGGAGGGGGGTTGGTCAGTTAGAGGGAAGTTGTGTGAAACAAAGAAGCACCATGTCAAGGAAACGGAAGTCGAGGCGCACGCGAGCGTGTGCGTGTGAGTGAGGAGGGTGGAGCAGGCGTGTGCCGGCATAAGCCACGGGGCACACGACTCCTTCACGCAAGCGAAAAATAGATTAACTTTAAAAGTGTAAAGGGTTCGGGAACACTCCCTCGAAAAGTGCCTTGCAACCCCTAGGGGAGTTAAGCACAAACTCTAGGATATAAAGAAATAAGAAAATATTTACACCAGAATATACTACTTCAGCAATCTCACAGAGATCTCGAAAATTGAACAATCGCACACCGATTCTTGGAGTCGCTAGCATACCTTTAGCACAGATTAATAGACAGATCGCCAACGACTCGACTCGGGTTAAGTCCAGATTCACACCTAGGGGCAAAGTATGCCCTTAGTCTCGAAGCAATTTTCATGTGTTACAGAATTATGGTACAGATCTCTCATCGTCGAGGCTGCAACTCACTTACACCGTAATGTTTTAATATTATTAGAAAAGACACGAAAGTCGATGACTGTAGATCGGATATTGGTTCATTGGCCTTCGTTTCTACCCGTCACGAATAGTGCGCGAGCGAATCCCAGAAAACAGAAAGGAAAAGATCAGGCTGAATAGGGTTAGCACCGTAGTGCACGAATTGTCAATAGACACTGCATTAAAACAGTCCAGTGAGTACAATTGGAGAGCTAGAGGTTTCTTTCCCACCTTTACGTGCGTGGAGCGTTACGGAACGTTTAATAATGCATGCGAACTGACGATGTATTCACATTGGTGTTATATTAACATTCATAATATTATTCTAAGACTAATACATTTATAGAAAAACATTCTCTGCTTAAGAAAAACGTGAAAAATTGCAGTAAACAATGCAACTGTACTACTGAAATATTTCTGTGACTGTGAAATTTTTGATGAGTCTGCTACAAGCTGCTAGAAAGTCGAATAAATTACAGTTAAGTTGTCATGGCTAACGCAAGACACGTAACAAAAATATATAAATTGTGATGTGACCTATACTTTTTATAGTCAAGAGTTAGAACGTCGAAATGTCGTAATTTAAATTTATTAAACAAAAATTACTTGCCAGCAAAAGTCGTTCTAACTCTTGACTATATTTCTTTGATCACTGGCGACTTACCATTTCCAAAATATCTATAATTTTTATTTCTACTTTTATTATTATTTGTTTCTGTCTCCTAATACTATAGTTATCTTTTTTTTATAAGTCTGGAAAGACGGTGTCAATGCTTATGTCATAATAGTTTAATAATATAAATATTCTATTAATCAGAATTCTTTAATGTCGCCAGCGATAATAAACAACGTCAGTGTTTTCTTGACGATACCTGGCATCTTCAATAACACAGAAAATTTATTACGAAAAATATTACCTCAGCCAGGGTTTGTACTTGGACCTTTCTACGCTCTAGGCAGGCGTCTCGCCAATTCGTCCGTCGAGGCATATGATAATATTTGTCGCAATAACAGTATAAAGATGTTGTCTACGCGTCTATTTCTTCGACTTTGTTGAACGGCACGCCGATAAGGGTTGTCGGCCGTACACAAAACTGTCGAATACGCGATTTGTAAGTTTCCCTCCCCCTTTCCCACACTTGCGTCTGTTATATTCTGAGTTCATCAATTTGTTACACTTTGAATGTAACAGATAACGAATAACAAATAATATTAAAAGATAATTTCTTATTTGTGTAGAACAAATATTACAAATAAGCTTTATGTGGATGAAATATTTATGTATTACTTTGTGTCATTTGTTTCCGTTTATCTCGTTCTCTCTATGACTCTCTTGATTCCTCTCACTAGGATTCTATCTTTCTCTTTCTTTTTCACTCTTGCGTTCTCTCTCTACATATCTTGTTACTCTACTCTCTTACATATATTGTTGTATTTTCCCGCACTCTTTTCATCCCTCCCCGTCTCTTTTCCACTTTTTTGCTTACTTGTAGAAAAGAAATTTAAATGTGGACTAATGTGTCGCGAAAAAGAGATGTTCCCAGTGTAGGCGATAGCATGTAACGAATAATGCTCAAGTCTGGTTATATTTCAATTAGTATTTTATTGACAGATTTGCAGCAGACATCAGATTTAGCTATCTGGATTATTAGATTATATTACAGACGATTATATTTTAACAATATGCAACATGTAGTAAATGAATAGATATAACCATAGAATATTTATAGAGGTCTACGCCACATTGACATTGCGTATTTAAATCCACACGCTGCCGTCGTGAACCGAATAAAATATTGATAATATTCTATTGCGCGGATACGACACATCGACTTACAAACATTATACAGGGTGCTACGCAACTTTTTAACCGCCGTTCACGAAAAAATAGAGGGGACTAAGCCAAACAGGAAAGTCCTCTACCATTTTCCACTTGGAAGAATAGTTATCGAGATATTGATGTAAAAAATCGCCGTATTAGCCCAACCTACTAGCCTACTGGCCAATGCAAGCGCGCGGTGAGATCCGCCCGCCCACCGGCCGTCGTTCGAGGCGGTGCGTGGTGAGAAATAGGGAGGCGCGCCGCTGTCCGTCCGCGGCTTACGCGACCGCAACTTTTTTCATAAGTCTCTCTACTTCTCGCCATTTTAGTAAACATTTTATAGAATTAAAGTAAAATTTTTTCAATTAAAAATTATCTACTCTTGGATATTTAATAAATATTTAAATTAAAGAAATGCATGTTTTAATTGGTTATTATTTCTTAAATTTAAGTTAATAAGCTTTTAGAAGCCACACCTAATCAATAATTTTCTTGAGTAAAGTAATATTTTTAAAATTAAGATATGTTTTTTATCAGTGTAGAATGTTTACGTACCTATAAGAATAGTTTGAATTTATGTAATGAAGTAAGTACGTTCAGTTATTGCGGATGCAGATAATGAAAACCAGTAGATTGCAATCGGAGAAAGTTACAAATTTTTGCGTAACATTTAAATAAAACAGCTGAGCAAGTAAAAATAAACAAGAAAACCACGGAATGCTCAGGACGTAATTCCTACTATAAAAATTTGCGTTATACGAGATTTGTTTTCAAAATTCGCAGAAAGCATGAGAAATTACATACTTCATTAGAGAAATATAAAAAATAATTTAATACCATAACAACAAATTGTTTTTATTTCTTTTTAAAGCGAAAAGAACTTAAAAATTCTATCATTTACAGCAAGTAAAGTATCAACGTAGATCGATCATGACATCGTAAAACTTTAAGTGCAGCAAAATTATTTACAAAAGAAATTTACATTGCAGAAATAATCCTCTCACAAATTTAACATAATTACATATAAAAATACAAATATACGTTGATCCAAGAATATTAATCCCCTTAGAATATAAATAATGGTAATCAAAAGTTTTGCGCACGACTTATAGCGTAGACTGTAAACATTAATATAAGTAGCGCAGCTCTGCGTGTTAATGTATATTACATGTTTTAACAATATTTGTATACAGCTGAGGGACCTAATACAAACAAGTATGTAGAAACAAATTTAAAAACTTTTTATGTTATAGTATTCGTATCACTAAATCCTCTTAACTTTATCTTATTCCAGTTTCCCCTAAAAAGCACTTTCCACGCAATTGCGAATTGAAAATCAAACAACCGAACAACTATGAGTTCCAAATCATCAGGTATCCAACACCAAAAATTTAAAAACTTTTATTACAACTTTGTGTGTTGGGTAAATGCACCTAATATTGTCCAGCACGTCATATCACTACTCGTGATATCTCGTGGACAAAATAAACATTTTAAAATGTTTTAAAATATGTTACATACAATAAAGATATTCTTTAACATATACACATATTCACAAATTTGAAAACATGCCAAACACTTCCTAACAATTTATATATGATGAAAAATAATAAATGTTGCTTTATAAATATTTAGAAAATTATGTGTTCATATGTTTTTAAAGTTACCTTTATATATATTTGTATACATGCATTGATTAATTTCCCGATTTTTACTATTTTTGTTTGTCTTCAAACAAAATTTAAAATCTTTAGATTTTAACCGTTCTAATCTATTGCAAATAAAATAGAAATGTTTCCTTTCTTATTCGAAACTACATACAAACAAAACTATTACATAGCCTTCAATTGAGATTTAATTTTGTTAGACGATATTAGGTACGTTTATGCTACAGTTGATAATCATAATGACCATAATAACGATGGTAACATATTGACCGGACAATTTTCGCAGCTGTTACATCTTATCTTTATCAGTTTTGTATTCATATTGCAGTTCACCTGAAACAAAATATAATTTTCAGAGCCAGCAATATTATTCGACTAGCCCTGGCAGAAATATTATTGTGAAAAATATTACCTCAAGCAGTGGAGAATATAATTTTATCGATACGGTTTAAATAGTGAGTGAAACATTAATTTATAATATATGTATATGATTACCTACAAACGCAGGTTCGAAATAAAGCAAACTCTGCCATAATGTAACACAGTATTGTTCTTCGGGCATTTCTATTTCACCCCCATATTTCTTGGGCAATGCCCTTTTATCTATGTGAGTCATTAAGGACTCCCAGTTTATCCCATGAGTGTAAATCCGTTTACGATATTTCTCCTGTGTTATAATCACGTTATAAAATTTTTAAAGCTCCAAAATTCAACAAAAAATTGTCATGACAATTTATAAAGATAAATCATAAGATCACACCTCCATGAAAGGTTTCATCAACGCGAGTGCTACGTTGACGACACGAGATTGATTCACAAGGTGCACACCTTTGATACGAAAGGGCATACATCTCTGTAAAAAATGTGACAACATTCTGAGCAAGGGCACGGTGGCGTGCCTTAACTGACTAAAAGATGTACCTTCGACGTCTAAAATAAAATGCACACCCGCGATCTAAAAAACAAAGCAAGATTTCACTGTTTAAATTTTACGCATATATTTGTGGGACACTCTAGAGATTCCTACAAATTTCTCTAAAACTGTATGAGTAAATTCAAGTATTGTTATAGCGAATGCTAATCTATCTTGAATCAATTGAAGAAATACTTTTCGATGACCAACCTGAGTTTTGTTTTCTATAAAAGCCATAAAAACGTTGACTAACCAGCCTCTAATACATTGATCGACCGATATTTCCTTTGGATCCCATTTTCCACAATTGAACACTACCACTCTGCATCCATCTTTAGTACGAAGCGGCAAAAACCACACCAATCCGGCACACATTATAGTTTTCTCTTTACTGATAGACAAATCTTTATATAGGTGTGAATAGGTTTGACGGAATCGGTAATACCGTTGCATCTGTTGAATAAAATATTTTGCAATTCGTTATTATTGTTAAATTCTGAATTAATTGCAGAATGCCCTAAAATCAATCGGATGTATTTTTAACCTCGACCTCAGCCAATTTGATAGCAATCCTTCCTTTGCAAAAACATGGCAGTCATTATTTAGCCCACATTTCCTAGGTTTAATTAATTATAATTAATCTAGTAAATAACTGAAAATAACTTTTTGTCTGTTTTCTTTGCAGTTCAGTTCGCATTTTATATCTGATAATTAATAATACAAAAATTAATTGACTCAATATTCAGGAGGGAATACAACGCAAAACTGAGGATCTCTATGGTAAGTCCGATTGTTTAGACTATAATATAATTCTAAGAATTTTATTATTGTCGTGTTTATATGTATACACTAGAACCTCCTAAAAGAAAATCTCGGAAGAGGACATCCTATCTCTTGCACGTGCTAAACCACACGCTAAGCTACTTTCCCTTAGTGTGAATAGGGTTACGGGATAGTTACTATACGAAGTTGCGAGTGCGATATCTATAGAAACAATATAATCACGCAATCATAAGTCGTGTGCAACCTACTCGTTGGTAACACTTACTATATCTTATACATATTGTAATAAGTTTTATAGTAATTCATATTCTTTCCGTGTGTGTCATTACAATCTGTGCATGAACTTGGAGCAAGATATACAGTTTTTTTAGTCGGCAAAACTATTTTACGATCCAAAACTTAACAGATAATGGTAATTTCACAGATATGTGATGGTTGGAGTACTGAAGCCTCGAACGGTCTATTCTCAAAAGATTCCAGTACATGTACATTCAAATTTAAAACAAGATTAATTTGTGATATTAAAAATACTACGAAATATGACTTACTAGTGAAAAAGCGCTCTCAGCATACCATTTGCATGGACGCAAGAATACTATGAGGAAGTCCTCCATGTCTTTCGGTACATGCAGATCAGGTTCCTCTAAAGAAATGAAATAAAAGAGATATTTTAATAAAAAGACAATGGTTACAATTCTGTAGCTTGTGTACGGAATATTATAATTTGCGTATAATTTCTGCAAACAAAATCAACGGCAAAGTGAATCAAAAAATAAAACGGCTACAATAATAATATCAACTATATAAAATATATGTCGCGTTTCTTTCGATGACAGTGCAGAATGTAACACCAATATCTTTTGTGAGACTTACTTCGTTACATTATGATAATCTCAAGTTGCAGTAAGTTTAACAACGTAGTGATTGCGCAGAAACAAATAGGCATCTATAGTTTATCATATTCAAAGTAGCGAAATTCAGTATAAAAATATTGTTTTTTATTTTATTAGGATTTTTCTTAAGAATTTTTAATACCTTGTATTTCTAAGATCCTATGAGACTACATGTTCATATTAAATTTTTTTTCACAAAATGACTTAAAAATCATCTAAAATAGGAGAACGCAGAAAGAAAGCAAGGTGTATCGTGCGTACGAGCTGTCGATTACCACATGAGATTACTACATAGGAGAACTAGATTTATTGAATATAATTTACGCTTATACATTTTCCTGTTCTTACTCTTCATCGTTTAGTTATTTTATCAATTTTGCTTTTTAATATAATGATAACTACATTTTTTGTACGATTCAACTTTTGCTACCTGAAATTAATTCTTTCAATTCCTTGAAACCTTTGGCAACAACTTCTGGCGTCTCCCGTAATTCCTTCTTGGCTTTCTCAAGCAAAAATTCGCCGACATCTCCAATTATATCATAGAAAAGTTGATGTTCACCAAACTTAATCTTCGGAGCATTTTGCTCCCAGTTGTCATATAACTCTTGTATGGATATTGACTCCAGCGAAGGAATAGGTTTAATGTTTTCCATATCAGTCGCTGATGATATTATTGTATCCAACTGAGTTGCAGCACAATGGATATCTGTCAGACAGTTGTATCAACTAAATTATCGCCCATCGAAGGTGGATACAAAGTTGAAACGTGATGCTGTTCGCAACTTATCCTGGCATTATCTTGTGCATACAAACTAATAAAAAGATTTACCAGCGCAGAAGCTATATTCGAATGTACGATAAAATAGATGACTTTAGGATCCTCTTATTAATACTCTAAATAGGCTTTTTACCAAGCTTACGTATATGAACCCATTTGAAAGATAACAATAGCTACGTTCAGCAGAAAAAGCTACTTTGCACCTGTTGAAAAATTCGTGAATCTGATTGGCGTATTCTCTTAATCTTAAGTAAATTCAAGAGCATACGCCAATTAGATTCACGAATTTTATAACAGTTGTTTTGTTTTTTTTACAAAAGTAGCTTTTTCTGCTGAACGCAGCCATTGTGACCGTTGCACAGCATATAATTTGTTACTACAATCAATACTGTAAAAAAATATGTAAAATTACATACATAAGTGTAGCAAAGTGATAAAAAAAGAATAAGTGTAGAAATATAATACACATATGCATGTTTATGTACTTTTACAGATCATTCTTTTTTCTTACTCTTTACAAATACTTATTTATTCATGATAAGAAATTACAAGAAATTGTAAAATTTACACAATTAAAAGCAAGCAGTTTACTTATTATGTAAGGTAATAATTTCACCTACAAGTTGTAAATTTACCCACTATAATAATTGTATTTTTACATGTAAATTTTTTACAGTGTACAGATTGATAATTTAATCTTCTTGTTTATTATTATATAAAAATATTAAGGTATTTTTTTATAGCACTTATTCATACCACAAGAGACCTCGAAAATTGAATAGTCGATTGCACTGATTCATGAACACACTCTTATTCTCGAAAGAATACTTTACTTATTACTTGTTACAGATCTCTCATCACATCGATTTACTCATAGCGACACACAAAAATTTCCAGATAACCTCTTCTGTCAGATAAGAAAGTATTGTATATACATATCATATATATGATCTCGTGTTCACGATGTTAGAATTCGGTCCGGGAAATTTATAGCCAATCGATTTGCAACTTTTACGAAAAAGCAGCAATTTTATTAGCTGCACATTGCTCAGACCGAGATTTTGGATCGAATTCTAGAATCGTCGACACCATGGCTTTACCGACAATCTGACAGATGTTTGGCAGTATTAGAAGTAATCTTTTTTTCTAGGCTATTAATCTTAGTTCTAATTGCACGATATTGTTCTTATATATGTTATCCCTAGACTAGTCTGGTCTCATTTTGTATATATCTAGTGTAGAATTTTTGTATCAAGCAAACATTTTTGTTTAGAACTAATCTTTTAATTGGCTTTATAGAAATGCAAAATTCTTATACGGAATTAAAGTACGCAGCAAAATCTACACTATTCTGGTCGACTTTATATAAAAAAACCAAAAAAAAATACAAATTTTACTAATTTTTGGCATACTTGACGACAATATTTGCTTGATACAAAAATTCTACACTAGATATATACAAAATGAGACCAGACTAGTCTAGGGATAACATATAAGAACAATATCGTGCAATTAGAACTAAGATTAATAGCCTAGAAAAAAAGATTACTTCTAATTACCGCAAGTCTAAAAATCCAATTCTAGAAGACGAAAGAAAGATCAGCATGGCGTGTAAAAATAGTTGCAGGCTTTCTCGAGAGATGTTACTGCCAAACATCTGTCAGATTGTCGGTAAAGCCATGGTGTCGACGATTCTAGAATTCGATCCAAAATCTCGGTCCGAGCAATGTGTAGCTAATAAAATTGCTGCTTTTTCGTAAAAGTTGCAAATCGATTGGCTATAAATTTCTCGGACCGAATTCTAACATCGTGAACACGAGATCATATATATGGTATGTACATACAATACTTTCTTATCTGACAGAAGAGGTTATCTGGAAATTTTTGCGTGGGTAATAACCCACATAGCACATAATATCACGTAATATATCAGTAATATTATAATATTGCGGTAATATTACATATTGCAATGTAATATTACATTAATATTACTGATATGTTACATAGAAATATTACACAGTAATGTAACAGTAATATTGTGCTGCAAGATATCAAAATGTCGATAATTGACGCGTTCTCCTATCTTATCGATACTGATCGAGTTCTCCAGCGGCTTTAGCATCCCCACTGTAGACCGTTGGATTTTACCTTGTCTTTACCGCTTTGTCATGATGTAAGTATAAAGGTGTACCATTGCGCATAATGGCGTCATCCGTAGTGACGTATGTGTAGTAGGCCAATGAAAAATGGCCAGGAATGCAGCCGCGAAATTCAAATGCTCTATTAATATATATTAAATATTACTAAATATATATTAAAATATATATATTACTAAATATATTACTAAATATATATATTACTAAATATATTACTAAATATATATTAAAATATATATTTTAACTTAAAATTTGTAATAAAAGAATAATATTTCAAGATATCCTCTTCAAGATATCCTCAATAGGCTCCACGTCCGTATTCTCGAGGCCCCTGCTATCAATCTCCGTCGCCAGCCATTCTCTTAATACGCACACTTAACCTTACCAACACTGTTTATTCTGTGTGACACTGTCAGCAGCCATATTGAATTCTAACATTCCTGGCCATTTCTGATTGGCTATCATTTTTGACGACTGCGCATCCACGGGAATGGAACACCTTTATACTTACATCATGCGCTTTGTCGAATAGTACGCGAGCGATCCCAGAAAGCAGATAAAAGATAAGACAAAGAAAAGAATCAACACTGTAGTCCATGAAATGTTGATAGCAACTCTATTGTCACGATCTAGTTGGGATTATTTAATAGCCGCTGGTTAGTCCCACCTTTGCATAAGTGATATTGCAATTATTTATGCAAAATTATACTATAAAAATGCAAACTTACACTTAATTGCCTACTGAAATACTGATTAAAGCATTACTATATTGGGAACAATTGCCTACTGAATGCAACTGCGACTACTAAAATATTTCTATATCAATAAAATTTTTGACAAATACGGCAATTTTACCCACATAACGTCGTATGTCCTATGTATGTATATGCATTTTTCCTCTATGGCATGAAAAAAATATCCTCTATGTGAAACACCTTAAAAAAATAGCATTCCCAAGTTTTTTTAATAAACAATGATGTCATGAATCAGGATCGATATGTATCCTACAATTAAATTAGAAGAGGCGATCTTTTAATAAAATATTTATTTGTATTAAGTTTATTTGCATTAAAGTAACTTGAACGTCACGTGACAGTTACCTCGAATTTTTTAAACGGAAATCTACATTTCTTATTATATCATCTTTTTCTACTAATTAATTGGAACAACTGTTGTCTGAAACAATTTTTGAGATATTCAAAGAAAACTTAGCAACTTTTTCAATATTCATCATACGATATCTCGATAACTGTTTATCGTGAGGAAAAATAATACAGGATTATTTTACTTCATTTCGGTCAAGAATATGCTATTGCAATAGTACTTCAATTTTTATAAACATTTGTGTATACATGAAAACTCCAAGGAGATGGGTACACAAATCCCACGATGATATCAATGATATCAATGATAAAATATGTACAAGTGTTTCATTACATTGTAAATCTCGTATGCTTTGATATCAATGATTTATTACT